TTTTTTTTTTGTTTATTAATGAGATTCTTGAAAATGATATTGGACTAGATCAAATATTAGTTATTGTTCATTACTAAAACGTAAACGTTGTGCAGGTGAACCTTCATCATCATATTGCACATTACACCGAGTTGCTGCTGGAATAATATTTATATTAAGTTCAGCTAAACGAGTTTTATGCATAACAAAAAATTGTCGTAATTGATCACCATCATATGCTGGTACAAGTGTTACCTAATAAATCAAACAAAAAAAGAATTTTTATTATAAATAATAATAATTATTATTAAAAAAAAACTTACTGGTATTTGTTCTTGTTTATCCCATTGTTGTTTTCCATCAATTAAAGATTCTAATGTAAGACGATTTATTTCAACAGCATTTAATATATAATAACGAGCACGTATACGACGAAAAAATTCACTATCAACATAATGTTCATTACCATGATATGGAATATATGCAACATCAACATAAAATATAGGACCTGATGGTAATGTTTGTTTTGATTTACGTGAATTATTAATTGAAATTGTTGGAACACTTGATTTACTAACTGTTGATTTTTTCGAATGATTTTCATCATCCATTGGTAAACTTTGTGGATTAATCTCTTCAATTGATGGCATTGTATTTTTTGTTGTTGTTGGTATATTATGATGAATTATTTCTATATCATCAATTTTATCAAGAAATGGATTTCGAGTATTAGGTGCTCCATCAACAAAACTTGTTGTCATAGGATCAGTAGAAATAAAATGTGAACTAATTTCCTCAACTGGTGTTGTAGTATTGCTATCAACAAATGTTTCATTTGTATCATTTGTAAATGAAAATGATTCTGGATGTTTTATTTTAATATCATCATTAACTATGTCAGACGAATCATTTGTTTCTTCCTGTTGATTTTGATCATTCTAAAAAAAACAAAGAAAAATTTCGTTTTTTGTTTTTTGACTGACTTTAATTTATAAGTAGATTATAATGCTTGTTTAAAGCTTAATTAAGGAATAGAGACCTGCGGGATCAAGTTTTTTTTGTGATGCTGGTCCCGATAACTTTTTTCACTCATCCCAGATCACATGCCTTTCTTGTAGTCCCGGTTCCGACAAATCTTCAAATTCAGATTCCGGTCGTGAAACTAAAGTTAGTCCTGCACATCTCTATTTAGAAATTAATGTCCATTTCAAAAAGAAGAGCGATAGCTATTTTTCAAATAATTCGAGAATGCTTCGTGCTATCGAGTTCGAAAGAGGGTTTCTTACTGCATAGATTCATATAAATTTGTTAAGTCTAATACATAAACAAGTACTCATCCATAGTCATCTTTAAAGCGAAAACTGTAACTTGATGAAGATAGGATGAATTTTAGATTTTATGAAATGCACTAGAACCACCAT